TACACAAGAAAGCTTTCAACATCCTTAATTGTCAAAAAAATACAAATTAAAGGACACCTGGGTGGCTCAGTCGGTTAAGCAGCTGCCTTCAGCTCAGGTCATGATTCCAGGGTCCTGAGATGGAGTCCCGCATCAGGCTCCTAGCTTGGTGGGGAGCCTGCTTCTCCCTCTCCCTCTGCCTGCTGCTCCCCCTGCTTGTGCTTGCACATGCTCTCTCTCTCTTTCTCTGACAAATAAATAAAATCTTAGAAAAAAAATACAAATTAAAACCATAATGAGGTACCATTTTACAGCTTCTAATGTGGCTAAAATAAAAAAGACTGACAGCACTAAAATTTGGCAACATTAAAAATGTGAAGCAACTGGAACTCATATAAACCACTTTGGAGAACTGTGTGGCAGTTTTTTAATAAAGTTAAACATACATCTATCCTATGACTCAGTAATTCCACTCCTAGGTATTTATCAAAAAAAATGAAAACATCTACCCACAGGAGACTTGTAAAGGAAATGTTCATAGCAACTTTACTTCTAATAACCCAATCCTGGAAAAAACCCAAACATCCATCAAAAATAAAACAGATAAAGAAATTAGGCTATATTAATTCAATGGAATACTATTCCTCGATAAAAATGTACCAACTGGGGCGCCTGGGTGGCTCAGTCTGTTAAGCATCTGACTTTGACTCAGGTCATGATCTCAGTCAGGGTCCTGGGATCCAGCACCCCCCAACCTCCCGCTAAGCCTTGAGCCCCCTGCCAAGCCCTGCGCTGAGTCAGCTTGTCCCTCTCCCTCTGCCCCTCCCCCTGCTTGTGCCCTCTAATAAAATCTTTTTTAAAAAAAAAAGTACCAACCACTGATACAACACTGATCTCAAAGACATATTACATGAAAGAAGCCAGACACAAAAAAAGCATATACTACTGTAGGACTCCATTTATGTAAAGTCCAAGACTAAGCAAAACAAATCTATGGTGTCAGAAATACAGAGCTGAAAGTGGTTGCCTCCAGTGGAGGACAGTGGGTGAGGAAATGACTGAAAAGGGGCATGAGGGAAATTTTTACAGTGATAAAAATGTTTTTGATCTTATTTTGGTAGAAGTTACAGTGTATAAAGTTGTTAGAACTCCTTGAACTGTACATTTAACATGTTTTTTACTGAATATTATTTATACCTCAATAAAAATACAAAGTAGCACTTTCCTTCAAGATATGTTAATCATTTTGTTTCAAATGAAATTCTAGAATATGACAAAATAGACACCTACACTTTCAATTATTTGCCACTCTGAATTATTCACATCTCTATTCCTTCATTACTGCAAATAACCTAATGGATTACATAGATATTAGAATATGTGTTCATGTTTAATTTTTCATAAATAGCAAATTTAGTTTGATTCTTCACAATTTCAGTATGTACCTAATGGACTGTCAGAAGTCCAGTAGACTCATCTGTTTTCTATAGCCTTTTCCTCTCAATACGATTTTATAATTGTGATTTATAGTTGTGTGGATCTGCTATAAAAATGAGAATATGTGGGGATACCTCACTGGCTCAATGGGTGGAGCATGACTCTTGATCTCAGGGTTGTAGGTTCAGGCCCCCCACTGGGTGTAGAGATTACTTAAAAGAATAACATCTTTTTAAAAAAAAAAAATGAGAATAAGACATATAAATCAAATGTCTTCAAAGAAAGTCACTGACAGGAGAACAATATTGCTTCAGCCACTACGACAGCCTAGAAAATAATGCCCTCCTCAACTATTTTAATTAAGACAGAGCCCATACATATTTAAATTTAAGACCAATTGAAAAGCATGATGAATAGTTTGCCAGCTAATTGGATCTTTAAAAAATAACACAGCCTAAATAACAAGACTTATTACATTAGTAATATATATTAGTACATCAGACTGACATCTGAAAACCCATGGAGCCGTTTTCTCCTGTTTTACTAGGTCTTCTTTTTGTCTTTCTTTCTCTTCATTTTTTCCTCTCCCTCTTTTGGTCTCTACCCCAGGTATATTTTTATCCCCATGGCCTCTCACTCTCCCTATGATATTGCTAATTGATTTTCATATAGCCAGCTCACCCCAGGTTCCAAATAAATAAATTTACAAAATTGTACTATATTCTATGTAGATTTGTCACATACTCAAAACAGCAGAGAGTATAGCCTGGGGGGCCGGGGGTGGGGTGGGGGAGACAGTGATGACCAGTGAGTGGAGAAAAAGATGATTCCATCGTTTCGCACCTCCACAACTGTAAAAGATCTCTCCTTCTGAATACCTACTGCAGGTTTTTATTCCCTACACACGGCTCTTACAGTAGTGCTCTGAACTATAAACAAGTACACTTGCCTAATATAAGAGGGAGTAAGCTCCCAGACAAAAACCATGTTTTATACATCTGTATTCACCATGAGCCTAAGACAGTGCCTTGTACAGGATGGGGCAAAACACATACGTGTTCAATGAGTGAATTACTGAATTAATGGGAATGAAAACAGTTGAAGGTGGAAGAAGATGAGAGAAAAAAGCTGAGAGGACAAAGCAAAGAAAAGGAAAAGTAAGGAGAGAGGAGACAAAAAGGAGAAAGAACAGAAAAAACTTGTGAAGGCAATTATTTCTGTTGGAATGAATGGGACTATTTTTAAAAATTAAGAGTTGGGAAAAGCCATTGCTATGTATCTAATATCACAGCAATCAGCACCGGTTATTATAAACACCTTCAAACATCTCCCATCCCTTGATATTTAAAATGTGAAAGACTACAGCATTCCTTACGCGACATGCAGATTCTAAGGACCTTCTTCAATTCTTCAACATTTATGCATGTTGAAGTCTGAGAAGTACCACTCTACACCCTTCAAGTCCTTTCTATTGTACTGACCGTGTGTTTTATTTAAATAAGCCAGTAGCAGAGACCTGAAAAATCTCTGATTAGAATGAAACTGATCATTGTAATGGGATGTGACCTGCACGTATTTAACTTTATATATGTATTTACCTTTAGGTGAAGTTATTAACTGCAGAATAATTTGGCCTGGAGGATAGACCACAAAACTTTAGAATTAGTCATAAAAATATGATTAAAAGAAATTGAGCAGGGCACCTGGGTGGCTCAGTTGGTTAAGCGACTGCCTTCGGCTCAGGTCATGATCCTGGAGTCCCAGGATCGAGTCCCGCATCGGGCTCCCTGCTCAGCAGGGCGTCTGCTTCTCTCTCTGACCCCCTTCCCTCTCGTGCTCTCTCTCATTCTCTCTCTCAAATAAATAAATAAAATCTTAAAAAAAAAAAAAAAGAAATTGAGCACTGGGACAGTAATATCCTCAGGAAATCACTCTTGTTCCTTCGGGCCTACCACAGGTCTCAGAATGACAAATGTGGCCAATGTTTCCTGAATGAGTAAAATAAGTGAATTTTAAAAATCAGAGATATTTAGGGCTAGAATAATCTTGGGGTCATCTGGTCTAATAACCTCATTTTATTTGTTTTAAATTGCTTAAAAAAGATTTGAGCAAGAAAGAGAGAGCATAAGCAGAGGGAGGGGCAGAGGGAGACGCAGACTCCCCGCTGAGCAGGGAGCCCGAATGCGGGCTCATCCCAGGACCCAGGGACCATGACCTTAGCCGAAGGCAGACACTTAACTGACTGAGCCACCCAGACGTCACTAATAACAAACTCTGGGCACCTGGCTGGCTGGGTAGAGCAAGAGATTGATCCCCGGGTTATGAATTCGAGCCCCAGGTGAAGTGCAGAGATTACTTAAAAAAAATAGAGATGAGCAAAGTAGAAATCCTCACCAGATGGAAAGCAAGCTTACAGAGTTAGAATATACTGGGTCTTACATTTTAATTCTTTTTGTTTCTTTCCTAGAAATGAGTTAGAAAGGGGATTTTAAATATAATGACTTCGGAACTCTTAAAGAAGCGGTAGGGTAAAAGATGCCAAGGACTAGAAGGAAGAGACTAGCAAAAGTGAGGCTGGACTAAACTATTTTTCTAAGCCTAATATACTGTTTTGACAGGCCAATTAATTAATCAACCTAATCTGCCAAAAAGTTAATCTGAAGGATTCTCAGAAAAAGAAAAATGAGCTGCATGAAAATGTTACAAACCAAGGGCGACCGCACATAACTAATTTACATCTCCACAGGCTTATTTCCTGTTCAAGTATGACCTCCTGGGATAAGTTTTACTGCAGTGTTCATTACCAGATGACTTTTGGTTTTAAGAGAAGCCAAGGGCAAGTTGGAAATGCGATTCTTAACTAAACATTAAAAAAAAAGGAAAAAAAGGTGCTGTTTCCCATTTGTTTGTAATTAGATTGCAGGCTTGCAGAGGAAACACACCAACTTCATAAGCAAAAATACAACGACCCAGTCACGTCCTCAAAGCAAATCAACACAAACTTCACAGCTGAATCCAGCTGTGCTGCACAGGAGCCAGGAATTTATTTTAAGGCAGAGGATACAGATCAAAAACGGCAAATCCAAGACAAGCCAGATTTTAATCCCCCTCTCCCCGCCCGCAAAAGGGTGTGACCTAAGGGGTTCCCCCCCCTTTCTTCTCTTTCTAACTTCCAACCAGCAGAAGCCTTTGAAGGAATCTTGGGGAGAAAACCTTTTAAAAGGATCGTCTCCCAGCTGCGCCTCGCAGAGCTTCGGCAGGCGCGGGCTCCGGCGGGAGGGGAAGGGGCCGGTCCCGAACCCGGGGAGGCCGGGCCCACGAGTGATTCATCAGCAACCGAGGGTTCGCGCGCCTCCACCGCGGGCAACGCCCAGCGCGCCCCACGACCCCCACCCGGGCCCGTTCGCCCCCTCCCGCAAGCAGTCCCCAACGTCTCCCCGCTCCCCGAGAGACACCGGTAAGTTAGGAGACCGGGGCCGGCGGCTGGAAGGCAGCAACCTCTCCCTCCTCAGCCACCATGGCCGGTGCGCCTCCCAGCCTGCGCCCGCAGACGGACTTCCTGGAAACCACCCGGCTGGGCTTACCTGACTGGCACCCGCTGGGGCCGCCGACCTTCTTCAGAGACCCGCGGGAATGACCTGTCCCTCGGTTCCCAGCACCCGCCCGTCCGCCTGCGTCTGCCTCGTTGGGAGTTGCCCGATCCACTCGCCCGCGGCTGCCCCAACCCGACCGCTCAGTCGGTGCGGCTGGTTCCCCCTCCGCCACGGACGCGCGTGCGCACTCCCAGGTCGCGGGGCATCCTGGGAGTTGTAGTTCCAGCGAGGAGGGCGACGCTCAGCGCTGACCCTAGTCTTTGCAATCTGCAGGATGTTGGAAGCGGCTGAGGATAGAAAGCCTTACTCCAGCCGGGGACAACAATCTTTACTAGTGGAAATATCTATCCTCGACCCTTTGGGAGCTATAAACAGCAACTCGAGGCTCTTTGGTATAGATTTCCTCTTTACTTTGACTTTTACTAAAGAGGCACACAAGGCAGGACTTGTACTATGTACCCTTGCTTGCTAATGCAAGGACGTGACATCGAGGCTTTAAACTCGTCATGAAAAACTGATAGAAAAGTAAACAAAGGCGAAGGCACAAAAGGGGCATAAATCAGGCAGATGTCATCTCAAGGGCGTAGTGACCCTAGTGATTTCTTTGGGCATGCAACCAGGGATGATGTCGCAGGGATAGCCCCTATATTCCCAGGCAGTTTTGGCCCCAACCCATCTTCCCATTCCAGTCTCAAGCTCTACACCATGGGGTGAAGCTGGGTTAATATGAGTGGGAGAAAAAAACAGAAGTGCTGCTCAAAGGAGGGGCCTGGGACAGATAGGTAGCCTGGAGGGGAACACGAGGAGAATGGGAATACGTCAGAAGGCAGTTCCACGGTGGCCTATGAAATGGCTGCCTTTTGTGCGGGGCTCTGGGGAGAGGGAACAGCAATGGTCTTCCATTCATTCCCTTAGTCACTCATTGGTAATTTTTCTGGCCTGCTCTTCATGACTAAACCATTCCCAGGAGTCATGCTCAGCTTTGATACACCTTCTTTGAAGGATGCAACCAGGAAGAGAACGAAGTGCCTGCTTGCCCTACATTCCAGATACTCCTGGTGTGGAAACCGACTAATGGTTAAACCTGTCCTGTCATTTACAGTCTTCCCTTCAGAGCAGGAAGCACCCTAGGTAAAGTAAATACCCTGGAATTTCATGCAACTAGTACCCATTAATCCCTGAAATGAAAGCCATTGATGATTTGGAGTTTTTAAGGAAAAAACCCTCCTAGGTTGCAAGTACTCTTAGAAGACTGTCAGCATTAAATCTTGTAGCCACTGCATCTTACTTTCTATAGCTTTTTAGTGTTTATCAGTTTCTCCAATAGTCTTGGATATAGCAGCTTTCTGAGAGCAACTTCCTATAGAATTCAGGTTCAACTAATATTGAGTACTTAATCCACACCACACACTGCAGCAGCACTTCATTTATAATATTTCATCCAATCCTCAAAATAACCCTACAGAGAATACATTTGTATCTTCCATTTCTACAGATTAGAAAACTAAGACCCAGAAAAGTTAAGTAATTTGCACAAGGTCACACAACCATAATTGGAGAACCAGAAATAAAGCATGGGTAGCCTGATTCAAATTCTGGCATGCTTTCCACTGCTGATCAGATGGATGTGTGTCCTAAATCTCATCAAATTCTTGAAAGTAAGATAATCGGTGACCGCGTCCACTGTACATGAAAAAAATTGTCTCACACAGTCCAGGGACATTGTACTCTGACTCGATGAGAGATTCATTTGATCTGGATTCATTTGATAATTCTATATTTCATTATAAATTAATATACAGGTATTTTGGCTACCAGCAAGTGTCTTACAAATTCCTGTGACACCTCTGGGGCATCACTCCTGGGAAAACTGACAAAATGGAGTTCCTGAACAAGCAAAGCAGAGACTACAGCCATCTAGACATAGTTTGTTTTTTTAGGCATAAAGGGCTTTTATTTCAGTGTCTGATAATCTATGACATGCTTCCTCCCTGATCTTCCAATATGGGGTGTTAAGAATACCTTCAGTGTATTTTCTCTCTCTCTCTTTTTTTTTTTAAGAGAGAGAGCCCACGTGTGCATGGGGCGGGGGGTGTGCAGAGGGAGAGAGAGAGCGAATGTCAGGCAGGCTCCACGCTGAGCTGAGCGCAGAGCCCCACATGGGGCTCGAACTCATAACCCTGAGATAGTGACCTGAGCGAAAATCAAGAGTTGGATGCCTAACCAACTGAGCCACCCAGGTGCCCTTGTATTTTCTCTTTTAGCTAAGCTATTCATTTTAAATTTTTCCTAACAAATGTCTAAGTATTTTTTTAGTTGCTTTTTCTAAAATAATGTGATTTGGTGCTAGGTTTTTCCCCCTTCCCTCCGACAAATATTAATGTATTATAACCACAAGGCTTACAGACATGAATCTCCTAAACCCATGTGATTTAAATATTACACATGGGGGGGACACATGGGTGGCGCAGTCAGTTAAATGGTCAAACCCTTGGTTTTGGCTCAGGTCTTGATCTCTCAGAGATTGAGCCCCAAGTGGCGCTCCATGTTGAGCACACAGAGTCTGCTAAAGTTTCTCTCTCTCCCTCTCCCTCTGCCCCTCCCCGCCTCATGCTCTCTCTCTCTAAAATAAATAAATCTTTAAAAAATAAAAAATACTACACACGGGACCAGAGGTGTTAACAGTCATATCCTAGTATTGAATAAAACCGTAAAAAATAGAACCTTCCTAACTGCTTCCACTTCAGCTATGATCTATTCTCTATACTAGCAGTTTCTGATTTAAAAACAAAGCAGATCATGTCACCTTCCTGCTCAAAACCACTCATGGCCTCCCAACACATTTCGAATAAAACACTAAGTTACCACCCCTATAAGTTCTTATGTGACTTTATTTTCCTACCACACTCTCTCACTCTGCCCCAGTACCCTGGTTTCCTTGAGGTTTCTCCATACTGCCAAGTTTATTCCCACCTCAAGATCTTTGCACTACACAGGAGAATGCTTTCCTCCCAAATACTCATGACTCATGCTGTCATTTTAATGAAGGTTCCGCTCAAGTGTCACCTCCTCTGGTCACCTTACCTTGCCTTTCTCCCCTTTCCTTACTGTCTTCATAGCACTTGTCACTACCTAATATCATCTTGCTCATATCCTCAGCATAAGCTCACAGAGGACTTTGTGTAAACGCTCTATCCTTAGCATCTGCAACAGTGCCTGATGCAGGCTGGAGATTCAATAAAGGTTTGTAAATATATGAATATTGAATCCTTCCCTCCCCCTCCTTGTCTCAATTTAGGACACAGAACAAGAGGGTTTGCCTGTAAATGCCAGACAGTGACCAAATGCAGATATGAACCCCAGCTGTGAGAGGGTTGGCTCCACAGGACAAGACACAGTGAAGCTCATCCTGAAATGGAGACAGAGCTCTCTTTTTAAAAGACTATGCCTTATGGGTTGCCATTATTAGCTTACAGTTAGCAAAACACATTCATAAAGAGAAAAAAAAGGAAAAACCTAAAAATTAGATTGATATACATAAGTGAAAAGATAAATTCACTGAAGGCCTGTGGTAGATTGAGATATTTTCCCCAAATATTTGCTCCCCTCTACAGGACAGGACAGCCCTACCCACTGCAATGTGACTTGCAGCACCCTCCTAGAAACACTTTCAGCCTCGGCTATGATCTCGTAATGTGTTTTTCCTTCTTCACATAGGTGTTGTCATACTGTAATCTCAAAGTTTATAAAACATGGACTTTGTTTGGGTCAATGAGATATGAGTGGGAGAGACAAAAGGACAACAGGAGCCGTTGGTGTTTCTGGGGCACCCGGGTGGCTCAGTCGTTAAGCATCTGCCTTCAGTTCAGGTCATGATCCCAGGGGCCGGGGATCGAGCCCCGCCTCGGGCTCCCGGCTCAGCGGGGAGTCTGTTTCTCCCTCTCCCTCTGTGTGAGCGCTCTCTCTCTCTCTCTCTCAAATAAATAAATAAATAAATAAAATCTTAAAAAAAAAAGTCATTGGTGTTTCCCACTAGTATGCTTCCTCTTTCTCTCCAGAAGGAGTATGACACGTCGCCAATGGAGGTTGGTCCATCTGCCTGGGTTGTAGAATGAGAAGTCACATGGGGCAGCACCTGAGCCAGACACAGGTGCTGACATGTAATGTGCACAAGAAGTAAACTGAGATCTAGGTGTGTTTGTTGCTAGAGACTGACTTAGCAAGAGCTGACCATTGCAGTGCCTATTCAGTGAAAGGCAATAGAAATAGAAGTGGTATGGCACCCCTCCCCCAAGCAGTGAATCCCACTTTGAATAATGGAAAACAGTAAGTTCAGCATACTGCCGAGAACAAATCTGAGACTGTTAAGTAAAATATTTGAATGAGGGACAGAGTGTGGTTCCTATTAGTTTTCGGGGTTTGCTTAGAGTGAATGTTAGATAGAATGTGAATAGTTAGATAAAATGATACTGTAACTCTACTTAATGTACTTTAAGCCCTAAACACTGTTATCTTTAAACTTCCAGCCAGAGTAACTCATAAAGCATTTCACATTGAATCAGCATATGCAAATCAACACCAGCAGCGTTGGGGGTTCCTTTAGCAAATACTGTCCCTGATATATTTATGTATAAACATATATGTATTTTATTTATTTATTTTTTTTAAAGATTTTATTCATTTATTTGAGAGAGAGAGTGTGAGAGATAGAGCGCGCGAGAGGGAAGAGGGTCAGAGGGAGAAGCAGACTCCCTGCTGAGCAGGGAGCCCGATGCGGGACTCAATCCTGGGACTCCAGGATCATGACCTGAGCCGAAGGCAGTCGCTTAAGCAACTGAGCCACCCAGGCGCCCCAACATATATGTATTTTAAAGAATTTATTTATTTGAGGGAGAGAGAGAGAGAGAGCAGGAGCGTGGGGGGGGGTTCAGGAAAGAGGGAGAAGCAGGCTCCCCTCTGAGCAGGGAGCCCAATGCAGGGCTCAATCTCAGGACCCCAGGACCATGACCAGAGCCGAAGGCAGAAACTTCACCAACTGAGCCACTTAGGCACCCCTTAAACATGTATTTTATAAGAGAGCTAAAAAAACTTAAGCTAAAGACGTAAACTTGAAACTAAAAGGTAAGGATTTCATTCTGGGAGCTTGGAGTTGGTTACGGTGGGAGGTAGGAATCAGAGAAGACAAACAC